GATTAAAGGTTACGCCGATGTAAACAACATGGTTTATATATGAGAAATCTGATCTGCAGGATGATGTGTTATGATTGAACAATCTGTAATGACTGAATAACATCATCTACAAATGATCTGATTGGACCAGGAGGAAACTACTAATGACACTCTTACCATTGACTGAAACTAAGTCAATAATTTGCCCCACAGATTTAGGATGGAACAACGACCGTATCACGTGACACAACCGTCCAACGCACCAGGATGAAGATAAACGGCTCATTATATCATATGATAGTGAAACGTAGTACGAAGCAAGAATGCCAACATAACGCAGGGACACCAACGTAGCGCAAAGACATCACCGTACCGCCGGAACACCGTAGCACGAGGACGCTATAACACCATGAAGATGCCGCAAGAAGCTCCGGATGCTGCCGGGACAAGAGGTCGCCGCAGCACCGTGAAACGTAAAGACAAGTGCTGGAACGCCGCCACAATATAGGATTGCCGCCACACTACCGGGACGCCGTCGTAACACGAAGTTACCGCTATATGCGCCGAATGCTGTCGCAATATGGGATTGCCACAGTATCGACGGGACGCCGCCACAAAAGAAGTTGCCACTTGAAGTGCCGGATGCCGCCACGATATAGGAACGCCGCTGCATCGACGGAACGTCGCCACAGCATGAAGTTGTCGCTACATGTGCCCAGTGCCGCCGTAATATGAGGTCACTGCCGCACCGATGGGATGCCACTGTATACGCCGGATGCCACTGCAACGTAACGTCGCAGCATCGACGGGACGACGCCGCAATGAGATATTGCCACTAGAACACCTGAAGACTTGAACACCGCCGCATAAAACCGCGCCTCACTGACAGACAAGACGCCGCCGCACAACACTGATGCTACACGAAATGCCGCACTGCCACAGAACGCCGTACAACACGATGTAATGACGCCACAACACGGGACGCCACCGTACAACATGCTAGATGAAACGCCACGACGTGATACACCACCGTATAACGTGCCGCGAGACAAGACAAGACGCTACA